GCTTCTTGTTAAGCTTACAAATGTCATATTGCTTAATTGACAAAATGCCTTAATTCTCATTTACGAATTTACACTTCAATAATAGACCAAATTGCTTTTTTTTTTTTCCTTAAGCTAATAATGTCTAACATTTACTATAAACATTACTTTAGTAAGTGTTTCGATTAATTTTTAAGTGAAAAGTAAGTAAGTTAAAGTAAAAATATGCTAAATTTAGTAGAAATATTGATTCATCAAACAATTCTAGCGAATTATCATAGGAAACACATGCTATATTATCATATCATTATATTCTATGATATCACTTTGATAAGGTACTGTAACAAGATTAACTGTAATATCTTTTAGCCTTCATTAATAAAGGTACTATACCATGATTTACTGTGATATTAATCATTTGTGAATAATATTACTAATAGTTTGTTAAAGGAATGTTTATTAATTTTAAAAACTGGATTTTGCTAGGACTATAATGTTTAATTCATTATCAATGGATTATTTATGTGATATCGCATATTCATAACTAATAAAGTACTACACCTCCGGATTATTGTAATATTTGTTTTTTGTAATTTGTAAAATACTGTACCTATATGAATGATTATAGCACTATTGTGATACAGTATCTTTGATGAAGTATCATAATTGAACTTAACCTGTAATACCGGTTATTTCTTATTAATAAACTACAATGCTTACAGTAACACTGTTTAACCTTGTTCAATAAAGTATCATATCTATAAACATATTATAATATGTGATTAATAATAATTAATAAAATTTGATAATGAGAAGAAGGTGTGATTTCATTGTAGTATCTTTTTTTTTTTTACTTTTTATTATCTATTTCAATGATTTTTTTTTGAATTTTACAAAATTTTATAGGAAAAAAAGTGATTGAAAAGAAGAAATTTTGCTAGTATATAGATGACATTTAGTTGACATGAATGATAACAGTCTGATTTGATTCATAAATGATTCATTCGGGTAAGCAATGATAAGAGTCTGATTTAAATCATAAATGACTCATTCAGGTAAGCAATGATAAGAGTCTGATTTAAATCATAAATGATTTATTCGGGTAAGCAATGAGAAGAGTCTGATTTGAATCACAAATGATTCATTCGGGTAAGCAATGATAAGAGTCTGATTTGAATCATAAATGATTCATTCGGGTAAGCAATGATAAGAGTCTGATTTGAATCATAAATGATTCATTCGGATAAGCAACGAAATGCTTCGTTCAATCATTTTCATACATACATATTTATATATCTAGCTGTGAAGAGGAAAGGAAATTATACGTGCAGACAGACAGACGGACAGACGGGCGGGCAGACAGGCGAAAGGAGGGACAGACAGACAGACGGACGGACAGACATACGGACAGACAGACGGGCAGACAGACGGACAGACAGACAGACGGACACACACACGCATACATGCAAATATGTACACATATCGATGATACATTTCGAAAGCAAATAAATGGGTCAAATATTATTTTCTATTTGTAGATTTTTTTCTTTTTTTTTTGTCTAATATTGAAATAATTTTCAAAATTACCCGTTTTTTCTATTTTCATACTTTTGAAGTTTCAAGTATTACAAAGTACTGAAATTTAAATCAATTCACTGACTCATTCATGTATTCCATTTCTAATTCTTGATCAATTCACGTATTCCATTTCTAATTCTTGATCAATTCACGTATTCCATTTCTAATTCTTGATCAATTCACGTATTCCATTTCCAATTCTTGATCAATTCAC